GCTCCCTCTCAAGTCTATGACTTTTTCTGTTTTTGATACATATATATATATGTATATATATGTATGTAGATATATACGTATATATATATGTATATATATATAGTTACATAAACATACAACCTGTTGAGTCCATTTAGAATGCTTGTATGTAATATGATTTTAGAATTGACCTTTTGGGAATTAATGTTTTTTCAACATTGAGTCGTTTTGGACGTTACGTATTTGTAATTCCAACAGTAGAAAGCAAGTAGAAGGATTAGGGTTTCAAGTCCAGCTTTATCTACATATTTGAAACTAGATCAGTGAGATCCTGTCTCAACACAAAGTGTTTGGAGAGATGGTTCACTGGGTAAAGACACCTGCCACCTATCTCTGATACCACATGGTAGAAGAAAAGAACCGACTCTGACTCTGGCCTCCACATGTTAGCTTGCACACGTGTGCACACACGCACACACACACTATGAAATACAGAAAGATGCTGGGCATGGTGGTATACACCTATAACCCATCACTTGGCAGGTATACGCTGGAGGATTGTATGTGGCCAGTGTAGAGGACAGATTGAGTTCAAGACCAGGCTAAATAATAAGACTTTGTCCCAAAACATCCAAGGACTTGGTACTGGAAAGACAGCTTAGCCTTTAAGAAAACTGACTGGCCGCCGGGTGGTGGTGGCACACCCTTAAATCACAGCACTTGGGAGGCAGAGGCAGGTAGATCTCTGTGAGTTCAAGGCCAGCCTGGTCTACAAGAGCTAGTTCCAGGACAACCTCTAAGGTTACAGAGAAATGCTGTCTGGAAAGAACACTGACTGGGGGCTGGAGAGATGGCTCAGGTTAAGAGCACTGGCTGCTCTTCCAGAGGTCCTGAGTTCAACTCCCAGCAGCAATATGGTGACTCACAACCTACAGACAGAACAATGTATACATAATAAATAAATAAATTTAGAAGAAAAAAAAGAACACTGACTGCTCTTCCAGAGGACCAACATCCACACTGTAGTTCACTGACTGCTCTTCTAGAGGACCAGCATCTACACTGTAGTTCATTAACCTGTAACTCCAGTCTCAGGGGATCTAAGGTCCTATTTCACAACATTGGTACTCACTCCACATGTCTGAGATAGTCCTGTCTCACCGTTTCTGTCATCTTAGCTTGAAAAGCGGCTGGAGGACTGGCTGGGGAAGACCATGCCTGGCAGTGACTGGACACCCAACGCCCGGTTTATTATTCGCTCTTGGCTTCGAGATGGCCTCAAGCCACGATGCATAACCAGAGACCTCAAATGGGGAACCCCTGTGCCTTTGGAAGGTTTCGAGGACAAGGTAAATACCTCTTAAGTTAAGTCTTAACTTAAGATGCTCAGCCTCGGCTGATGCTGTTGACTTTGGGCTCATTCTTGATTGTTTCCCTCCAGGTATTTTATGTCTGGTTTGATGCCACTATTGGCTACCTGTCCATCACAGCCAACTATACAGACCAGTGGGAGAGATGGTGGAAGAATCCAGAACAAGTAAGCAGGCCTTAACCTGTCTATGGGGACAGTTATGGAAGAGGGTGGGAAGTTCCAGGCAGTCTCCTCCAATGTATTCTCCTAGGTGGACCTTTACCAGTTCATGGCCAAAGACAATGTTCCCTTCCATGGCTTAGTCTTCCCTTGCTCAGCCCTAGGCGCTGAGGACAACTATACCTTAGTCAAGAACCTGATTGCCACAGGTAAGTACCCTGGCAGAGCACAAGGAGGGAGTGCTAAGGAGGAGCCTGGGCAGGACTGGGTCTTATGGTATGTCTTGAGATGAAATAGGGTTCATCCAAAAGAGGGAAAACAGAACTTGAAAGCAAAGATATAAAGCTAAAACTATTATAAACCAAGAGAAAAAAAGGGCCAGAACAAGAGCATGGAACTCCATGGCCTTGTCAGCTCTTCAAGAGAGGTGTTTTTGGACACTTGGCATCGAGAGAAAGGGGAAGAGGCAGTGAGGGAGGGAGGGAAGGATGTGATTTGAATCCTTCTCTTTTGTCCAGAGTACCTGAATTATGAGGATGGGAAATTCTCTAAGAGCCGGGGGGTAGGTGTGTTTGGAGACATGGCCCAGGATACAGGGATCCCTGCTGACATTTGGCGCTTCTATCTGCTGTACATTCGGCCTGAGGGCCAGGACAGTGCCTTCTCCTGGACAGACATGTTGATTAAAAACAATTCGGAGCTGCTGAACAACCTGGGCAACTTCATCAACAGGTAGGAAGGAACCTGTGGAGAGGTGCACACTAATGGGGGGGAGTCCTTAGTGCGGGTGGCTGATAGAAAGGGAGTGGGGAAAGTTGGTCCTGTGGGTGGATGGCTACCGTGCCAGCATATGCTAACCTGTTTTCTTGAGGCAAGTTAGCTGTAGGTAGGTGGTTTGGTGGAGTTGGTCAACAAGTGAATTTTTGTGAGTTATATTGTGTTTGTCAAATTCAGAGCTCTGAATTTGATCCTCTACACACAAGCACAGATATTCACGTGTGCCCCCCCCCTCCACGACTTGAGACGCTTCAAAGTTCTGGACCTTTAACTTGGCCCTTAAACACATTTAGCAGCCTTTATTAGACTATTTGTTAGCTTATAACACACTTCAATTTGGTAATTCTAAATATTTACTTCTAAAAATATATAATTGCTTAACTCATTTCTTTATTGAATCACATTTTTTTTTTCAAGACAGGGTTTCTCTGTGTAACAGTCCTAGCTGTCCTAGAACTCGCTCTGTAGACAAGGCTGGCTTTGCCTGCCTCTGCCTCACGAGTGCATACACCAATACTACTTGGCTCCAGAATCATGTTTTTAGGAGAGGGAGAGGAAAATGTAAGATTTAAGCTCTACTTCCAGTATGAGAGCCCAGGGATGCCACAAGGAAGAAGTGTTTTGGATTTTTGACATCTCTGTACTGTTTGTGCGTTGGGTGCTGTTGACACACTGCAGTGAACATGAACGTGTAACCTGAGTCATAGTGAACACGAGCGTGCAACCTGAGTCAGTTCTTCCTCCACTGTGTTGATTCCAGGGATTGAACTCAGGTCATTGGGCATGGCTGGCAGCCTTTCTCTGCTGAGCCATCTGCCTGAGCATGAAGAGTTATGGAAGTGGGATGACATTTCTCTAAGGAAACTGGACAGTAACTTTGTCTTTTCTTTCCCCCACCCCAAGAGCTGGCATGTTTGTGTCTAAGTTTTTTGGGGGTTGTGTGCCTGAGATGGTACTTACCCACGATGACAGACGCCTGCTGGCCCACATCTCCTGGGAGCTCCAGCACTATCACCAGCTGCTGGAAAAGGTTCGGTAAGTAACTTCCAACAATCACACAGTCACAACCACTACTGTGGTTGACAGTCCCATGTACTTGCCTCCTCCCTTCCCAGGATCCGGGATGCCTTGCGCAGTATCCTTACCATATCTCGACATGGCAACCAATACATTCAAGTGAACGAGCCCTGGAAACGGATTAAAGGAAATGAGGAGGACAGGTGTGTTCAGGAGCTATGGCTGGCTATAGGAATTAAGTGACATGCTGTGTCTTCTTGGTGACTTTGACTTATCTCTTTTTTCTCAGGCAGCGGGCGGGCACGGTGACAGGTGTGGCAGTGAACATAGCTGCCTTGCTGTCTGTCATGCTGCAGCCGTACATGCCCACAGTGAGCGCCACCATCCAGACCCAGCTCCAGCTTCCCCTCCCAGCTTGCCGCATCCTTGTCACAAACTTCATCTGTACCTTACCAGCAGGTCACCGGATAGGCACAGTAGGTCTCCTCAATGTTAGCAGAGCTGGCCAACTCAAAATTCTTACTTTTATGGGGCTGCCTTTGGGGTGAGGTCAGAGACCTAAAAGTCCCTGGTTTTGAGGTGCTGGGCTCTGCAGCTGTTCTCAGAACCCTCTGCAATTCTGAACTTGGACTTCTTATAGAAGGTTATTGTATCAGTTTGTGAGCACAGTACTATCCATATATCCTTCATGTCAGAAGCCAGGAAGTGGCACAGTATAGAAACGGTTGGAGATGACCATGGTGACCTGATCTCTTAGCCATTTCCTTACACTAGGTGATGAATATGTACACTAACCCTGTCTCCTTTGTATTACCATTTATTTTACACTCCACTGAAGAGTGCTGGCCCTTCTTAGAAACTGCTGCCTTCTGTGAACCCTTGACACTGTTGGGCATTTGCCCAGTGCCAGACTCCTATATCTTGTAAAGCATCTGCGATCGCTAAGTGTCAGGAAGGGTGGGGGCAGTAGAGGGTATCGGTGATTGATTCTGACCTGTTTCCACAGGTCAGTCCTTTGTTCCAGAAACTAGAAAATGACCAGATTGAAAATCTGAGGCAGCGCTTTGGAGGGGGCCAGGTGAGCAAGCTGGACTGTGCCCTCCCGGGCAGGCAGGGCAGTGCCACCATAATCTCCCCAGCCGTCCTGTCCTCTGTCCTCTCCTCCCACTTTAATCTCCCCAGGCCGCCTTCATTCCTCTCCTCCCACCTCTGGCCTCGCTGCCTCCTCACTTGAGTTTTCCTTTCCTGTCTTAGCTAGAAGAGTCCTCGGAGTTAAAGGTAACCATTTCCTCTGAGCTGTTATGTCACACTAGACGCCAGAGGAAGTTATGGCAGCAAGTAATAAATCTCCTGCTCTTCTCCAGGCTAAAGGACCCCCTAAGTCAGCAGTTGTGGAGGCGGTTCCAGCGGCTGGGCCACAGCAGATACAGATGCTGATGGATGAAGTGACCAAACAGGTGTGGAGCTTATGACCTGAGCAGGGCTGGAGGTGACCAATCCTACACAGGTCCTTCCTGGCCTCACCTCCCATCCCTCTCTTAGGGTAACATCGTCCGAGAACTGAAAGCACAAAAGGCCGACAAGAACCAGGTTGCTGCAGAAGTGACTAAACTCTTGGATCTAAAGAAACAGTTGGCTTTGGCTGAGGGGAAACCCATTGAAACTCCTAAAGGCAAGAAGAAAAAGTGAGAGGACGTGTTGTTAGAAAGTCCCTTTACTGGGTATGGACAACAATAAAGAATGTACAATATATACATATACACAAGCTGAGAGCCTTTGTTTTCCCTACTCAACATGCAGTTGAGGGTCACATCCATTTGGGGAATGATGGTCCCAATTGTTCATGCTTGGTGCAGATTTACCATGCGGTCGATCAGAGCCCGGCGAGTGGCCTCCACCTCCCTGGTCAGGCGCTCGATTTCCCGCTTGAGTTGCTCATTCTCTTCAGCTAGCTGGGCCACTTTTCTCTCATTCTCCTGTTCTCTCTCCTTCATGCGTTGCTTTCCACCCCGGGCTGGGCACTGACCACTCTGTTTCCGTTTCCTAGTTCTTCCTTGATCTTCCTCTTCCTCCTGAGCCATAGAGCTCTGACTGGAATCCGGAGAGCGAGGACTCCGGGAGGAGCTTGTGACCTCTGCTGGCCCTGGCTCCTCAGTCAGCCAAGCTAGGGATGCGGGGTCAAGAGTAGTGAAGGTCTTTGACTCCTCCTTTAAGGAAGTAAAGAAAGGGAGATGGGTATTAGTTGCGAAGAGGCAAATAGTTGTGAAGAGGCAAACATACTCCCCAGTTTTGTGAGTCTTCTGAAAGAGGCCAGACTCAAACTCACTAAACTTAGGCTGGCCATTGAGGCAAAGCCTCTCGCCTCCACTTGGCAAGTGTCAGGATTGCAGGTGTGCACCGCCATTCCTGCTTGCCCATCTCCAGACCAGCATTCTCTCTCACCTCTTCGTTTCCAGGGGATGAGATATAGGGACCCCCATTTTCATCTGAGGACAGCACCTCCTGCAGATCCTCATACCAGGCTTCCAGCTCCCAGCTGGACACTGTGTCCAAGGTGAAAGGCAGGGACTCAGCTGCCATGTCTGTGGTTGGACTGGGTTCTAGAAAAGGACATACAGGGTAAAGGTTCCACTCACCACGGCTGGTAAACTCGTGTCTGTTTTAACACTTAGGATTTAAAAATTAAAATAATCTTGTGGGTCAGTTAGGGGCCTGGGCTGTCAATCATTGAAAGCCACATTGGCAGGGGGTAGGGATGGAAAACCATGGCCTACAAGTTGTTCTCTGACCTCCACATGAATACCATTGCATACACACGGGCACACAATATAATGAACGTAGGGATGGGGAAACAGCCGAGTAACTAGAAGTACCTGTCACCAATCAAGCCTAACAACCACAGTTTGATTCCACCAGAGTCACCTAGTACAGGAAAGAACTACTAAACCCGCCAGGCGGTGGTGTTTAATCCCAGCACCCAGAAAGCAGAGGCAGCAGGATCTCTGAGTTTGAGTCTATAGACTGAGTCATAGGACAGCCAGGGCTACACAGAGAAACCCTGTCTTGAAAAACCAAATAATAAAAAAAAACCCCAAAATCAATAAATGTAAATAAAATATTGTGTAGTAGCCTTTCTATTGTTTCTATAAAAAGTTTTATGTGTATGCATGTGGTCACATGAGTGCAGTGTCGGGGGCAGGGGAAGGCATTCGATCTGGAGCTCGAGTTCAGCTGTGAGCCACCTGATGGGGATCTTGGAAACCCAGTTTGGGCCCACCGGAAAAGCAAGTGTGCTTAACTGATGAGTTTTCTCTCTAGCCTCTATTTCCATTTTTTGTTTGTTTGTTTTGGTTTTTCATTATTTTTTGTTGTACTGGGAATTGAAGCAGAGCCTTTTATATATGCAGCTATAACAACTACCAGGACTAAAGAAAACATGAAGTACATTTTTGTGTGTCATCTTGGAGATCAATGAAACCTAGTGTCTCACACACAAATGCTGAACTATACCCCCAATCCAGCCTGAACACACATTCAGATCTATTTACTTTATTGTCTGTATCTATGTATGTGTGCTGTGTGCCTGGTGCACATGGAGGCCAGAAGAGGGAATGGGTTCCCTAGCAAGTAGAGTCAGATGGTTTTAAGCAACCATGTGGGATCTGGGAACTGAACCAGGTCCTCTGCAAGAGCAGCAAGTGCTCTCAACCACTGAGCCATCTCTCCAACTCCTAAGAACATACTTTTTATTGAGATATAGTCTTACTATAGCTAGCTCAGGCTGGTCTTGAACTTCATGATCCTCTTGCCCCTGCCTCTCAAGTTCTGAGATTACAGGTATGAGGCATTATGCTTGGCTATGTGTGTATATATATATTCTTACGGGATTATAGTAAAAGTATTCAACTCACTTGGGAACACCGCTGGTAAATTCCAGGGATAATTACTAAGCCACTTGTGTCCCTTTCTCATGTGTGGGGAAGCTTGAACAAAAGGTCCTTGGGGTTTTGATGTGGAATACCCTTTATATGCTATGTATGTATGTATGTTTTACTACCATTGGTTAATAAAGAAGCTAATTTGGCCTATAGCCAGGCAGAATATAGCTAGGTAGGAAATCCAAGCAGAGATACAGGGAGAAAGAAGGTGGAGTCAGGGAGATACCAGCAGCTGCTGGGGAAGCAAGATGTGAGGTAACAAGCCACGAGCTTTGTGATAAATTATAGAATAACAGAAATGGGTTAATTGAAGTTCTAAGCTAGTTAATAATAAGCTTGAGCTAACAGGCCCAATAGTTTGTAATATTAAGCCTCAGTGGTTATTTGGAAACTGGTGGGTGGGAGAGAAACCCAGTCACAACCTTGGTGTGGACTGAATTGGAAAGACAAACCTATAGCCATTGTTGAGGCTGGCTGTGCAGCCAGCTTTCAACCAGGAAGTGCTCTAAAAATAATGCTAGGGGGTCAGAGAAAGACATGGTCTGACAGTAGAAACTTGTTCAGATCACACCTAACTACTGCCCCAGCAAAGCAGCCCTAAGCAGCATTGGGAGTTGACTTTGAGAAGGGGTTAGTTAAGTTTACCTATTTTCAGGTATGGTGATGTATGAAGATACACTTCCTTCTGGAACACTGCAAAGAACAAAGATAAATGTTTACTGTTAGAAAGGGAAGAATCAGGTTCTCTGCCTCCAGCCTCTGACCCTTCTCTAATTCCTCCCCCATTTTTCTTGGTTTTTCAAACCAGGGCTTCTCTGTGTAGTTCTGGCTATTCTGAAACTAGCTCTGTAGACCAGACTGTAGTTCTTTCCTTGTATTAAACACACACACACACACACACACCCCTGACGCCAATTCCAAGGACAGGCAAGCTTGATTTATTTTTAGTTGCTGACATTTGTAGTCCTGATTACATAATAGCAAAGTTCTAGCCAACTAAGCTTTTTCTAAATTCAAGATAGACCTCAAGGGTGCCAGAGGGAGGACTGAACTATAGGGAGGGGAGAAATTCAGGGCACTTGCTGCAAATGCCCGGCTCCATTCTCACGCTGGCAGCCTCTGGTCTAGGCCCATTCAGGGATCTTCCAGTTCTGCTGTCTGTCTACTCACTATCTCCTTTTGAATGTCTAGCAGGCATTACAGTTACAACAATGTCCTACTGGGCTTTTCTTTCCAAGGTTGTATCATTTTAAGTGGCAACTCTAGTTGCTTAAAAAAAAAAAAAAACCAAAAAACAAAACCCCAAAACAATCTCCTTGCTTCCTCCTCTCACACTCCACAACTCAGTCTAACGCACTGGCAACTTTAATACATTCTTTTTTGTTTGTTTTTTCAAGACAGGGTTTCACTCTGTAATGGTCCTAGCTGACCAGGCTGGCCTCGAACTCTTAGAAATCCACCTGCCTCTGCCTCCAAGTGCTGGGATTAAAGGCGTGCGCCACCATCTCCCAGCTAATATATTCTTTTTAAGTACCTCAAGCCTAAGTATTTCTATTACATTATTTTCAAATGGAAATCAATTTATCATCCCTCTTCAAGATTACTGTGGAAGCCACCTTCAAGAGAGCTCCCATTTTTTAATTTCCAAGACAGGGTCTCACTATGTAGCCGTAGTTGTCTTGGAACCCAGTATGTAGACCAGGCTGGCCTCCAACTCACAGAGATTTGATTGCCTCTGCCTCCCAAGTGCTGGATTAAAGGCGTGTGCCACCACTGCCCAGCTGAGAACTCCCATTTCTATTGTCTGTTATTTTTTTATTTTCATGGCTGGAGGTTGGCCATAAGAGTCTTCTCTATAGCAGGCAAGCAGTCCACCACTGAGCTACATCCCCAACCCTTTACTTTTGTATTCGTTTATTTTGAGGATTCACTATATAGCCCTGGCTGGCCCCAAACTCAAGAGATATGCCTGCCCCTGCCTCTCTGAGTGCTAGAACTAAATACACACGACACTAGGCTCAGATCCCTCCAATGGCTTCCTGTGTCATGATTGTTGAAGACTAACACTCTGAGACTCAAGGCTCTACACGTTCCACCACCCTCTCTCACATCCACTCCAGTCCAGCCCACTGCCCTGGTCTACCAGGTGTGCTCTGGCTGCTCCTTCTGGAAAGCTCTTCCAGTTTATCTGCAGGGCACATGCTCACCTTCTGTGGGTCTTTCACTTACGATCCCAGTGAGTGAACATGACATGAACAAAGCTCTAGCCACAGTCCTGAGCACTCTATTCTCTGCTTTTGTTTTTTTTTTCCCCCATGGTGCTTTAGCTTTCTGCTGAAATATAAGCTATTTTGAGAGCAGTTTTACCTTTTGCTCCTAATATACCCTGGGTCCACAAATGTTTGGCACATAGTCGGTGCTTATTAAGCATTTGTTAGGCATGAATAGGAAGAAAAAAAAAACACTCCCCCAATTTCCCTTAAAGAGAGAGGAGAATTAAGCCCAGAGGCAGAGACGGAGCTGCCTGACTCTGGGGACTGGAGGTCTCTGTCTCTGGGGACTGGAGATGCAATATTGCCCTGAATGTTTCTCTGCAGGGCAGTCCTCTGGGGGGAAACTCCCTTGGTCTTCCAGTGTGTGGGACCTGGCTTTCATCAGCGACCCAGGCCAGAGGGCACAGAGACAAACAGTGGGCCGGCCTGATGCAATGGTTACAGAGATTAGATAGGAGACAGGGCCGAGGAAAGAGACAGAGATCAACCCCGGGAGAAGCACAAGACCCTGGAGAGATCCCAAATAATTCCCACAGTTATCCAGGCTGCTCTTCTTGTTCAGAAACCTCTGGAGGGAAAAGGGGAAAACCCATCCATGCTCCTCCCACCAGCACCCCCACACGCAAAGGTCTGTAAGTCTCTAGGATTCTCTTGAACTTTAGGGTCAGCAACTAAAGTGGCCATGCTGGCCCCTGAGGCGCTTGAAAGTTGGGGGTAATGAAGCCGTTGGAGAAGTGAAAACGGTCAGAGTCCCCTATATGGGGGTGTGTCCTGCTGCTCCGCCTTTCCCTGGACTGGCTTAAGATGGCCCGAAGTTCGCCATATAGAGAATAAAGTTCTCGAGGGCAACCGGAGGCCCTTTGCCTAGCGGCACAGAGCACAGACCAACTCGAGACGGAGAACGGTGATGCAATCGCCCAAAGGCAGAAGGGCCTGAAAGCACCGCTCCTGAATCAGGGATTCCCCGCCTTCACCCCTCCCTCCGTCTACAAGCTCACTGTGGAAGGGGTGGGGCTGCATCCTCAAGAGCAGTCGGCCGCAACTTTATGGAACAGCTATGCGGGCGAGGACGGGAAGGTAAGGGGTACACGGGGTCGGTACTCGCCTCTCTCCTCAGGTTCCGGCTTTTATTTTGGCTGTGTCGCGGCCACCCGTTCATCTTCAACATGATATGATCGACGTGTTAGACTCGAGCTACTGACCTCTGGAGCGCGGAGCGAAGATCTTTTACGCTGACCTTCCCCTCCTCTTAGGGGCCGGGTCCAAGAGTCTACCAATCAGAAAGCGGCACGCTGGCACTGGCTCCGCCTCACCCTCACGTCCGCCACTCAGGAGTCCCACGGCCCCGCCCCCATCGCGCCCTCTGGCTGGAGAATCTACGTTGTCTCGGACCCGGAAGTGGCTTTGGGTCACGAGGCTCCGCGGAGGAGGTGAGTGAGTCATGCGCGCGCGCGGAGGAGAGTGTGGCGAGGGAGGGGATGACGGGGGGCGGGGATGATGCAATGTTTGGCAACCGGTGTCTGCGCGCGCACGCGCAGGGGCCACCGATGGTGGTGGGAGGTGCGGGGGGTGGGGGAGAGAGGAAAGAGGGCGGAGCGCCAGCTCCCCGTAGCCAACGGCCCCAACGGCTGTCCTTCCTGAACTTGTCTGCCCAGGAGCGGCTGGTCTGCCCACCTTCCATCACCTCCAATTTACTCCTCCATAAAGACTCCCATTTCCCCGGCCCCTCCCCGCTAATGGGCACCGAGGCCCTTGAACCTCTTAAAGTTTCCATTAGTCCCACCTGAATTGACCTTTTCTCGAGTCTTTTTAAAAGGGATTTCACCTCTTTTAACCTTCTAACGCTTCCCAAAGCCTGAGGTACTGGCATTTCCCTGGTAGTCTACCGGCTTTTCTCAGAAGAGAACCTTTGACGTTTGTTTCTGATTCGTCCATTGCATGCCAGAATTCAAGTTCTTTGTAGCGTGCACCGATTCCCACCCGCTTCTTACCCCACCCCTGCTCTCTGCGATGCTCTTATTCTTTTCACTAAGACCAATACCCACCCTTTTCCTTCTCCCAGACCGCAAGTCCTGTGACTCCCTGCTGAGCAGCTGGCCTCTAGGAGTCTGAGGTCATGACCTATAGTAGAGACCGGAGACCGGGGTGTGCATGCACTTGAGCACATGACTGCCGTAGACTGGGTTATCAGAGGGAACACAGATTCTACCTTAATTTGCCCATTTGTAAATTAAAGAACAAGAGGTAAAGGTGAAAAGAGCACTGTGGAGGCAACTTGAACAAAACTAAAAACATCTTGCAAAATGTATTTTTGCGCCATGAAAACAGAGGCCATGTGGTGGCCTATTACATGTGTATGACAGACTCAGAGAGGCAAGCCAGAGTTTGTCTAAGTAGAAACTGCACCAAGACCGGTTGCTATTGGCGGGTGCGACAGTGACAGGTCCTTGGCCAGACTGCTCCTTTGCTCCAGACCTTCATTTCCCCTTCTGTTAGTAGAGGTGGGGGTGGGCTGAACCAGATGGTCTGTCCTGGCCTAAAGACAGACCAGGTTGTCAGTGACAGGCAGAGGTCATGTGACTTGACAGGCAGTGGTCGTGTTGTGACATGTTGACCTGGAGAGGCGGGTCAAGTCTCGGCACACAACCCGGGAAGCCTATGGGGCGGGGCAGGGCAAGTCGCGACTTTCATCTTTTAGGGCTGGCCCCTCCCGGACCTGACATTCCTGGCTCCCCCAACAGATTGTGGCTTCGGAAGGGGCCCCTCCCCAGGGAGGACTGGGATTGGCCACCAGTGGCCTGGGAAGAGGCCCAGATCCTTCCGCGGAGGGAGGGGGGGTGGCCGCGTGGGGTGTTTGTTCTCTTGGGGATTAATGGGGGGTTGTGGGGGAGGGGTAGGCGCGCTCCCGCATGCGCACTGCGTCCCCTCCTGTTGGCTCGCTGCTGTCCGCTGGGCGGGGGCCCGGCCCCGCCCCTCTCCCGTCCGGGCAGC